CAAACTTATGTGTGCCCCATCAACCATCTTGGGTTCCTCTTGGCAAAGCTAGCTTTGAATAATTGTATCAAAATAAGGGGAATCTAAAAAGTGGTTTCTGGCGCATCACAAGAAATGTCCCTTTAGGAAGAATTCAAAGGGGGGGGGAATGCAGTATGCGTGGCCTTGCACCAGCTCTTGGATAGAAAGAGAGGGCATCACTTGCAATTTTGAAATAAGCCAAAGGCCTCAGCCAAAGCTCTGTGTATATTTTAAAATGCTCTAATTATAGTGAACAAATCCCTCTATTTAAAAATAATGAGGGACATTTGCCATCCACATACAAGTGGTGCTCCTGATTTTAAAGGTCATCACACTAGAAGCACAGCAAATGCTTCCCACACTATACATCGTCCTCCAAACAAATATGGATGGAATCTCAACATGTCTTCCTAATTTGTCCCACCACCACTTTCATCGTCTGCTTTTTAGGCCAAGAAAGGTGAAAAAATGTTTTCTTCTTCTTTTTTTTTTTTTTGCTTTCCCTCACATCTTTGACAAGGTAGCCGAATTTGGAGCAGACTAAGGAAGAAAATCAACCTGACTGAAATCTATGAGGTTTTTTTTTTTTTTTTTTTTGCTTTTCCCTCAACCTTGTCAGGTTCATCAAAAGCAAGGAATGGTCAACACATCCTGCACCGGTGAAACCATCACAATTAAAATGAGGCATGCTACATGACATAAAAATTGAAATATAAAATACAAGGTTAAAATAGGTACAAATTAAACAGATCTTGGCCAGAAACTAGCAATAATAGCAGATCTGTCACACTGCCATCAGATTCTCAAAGATACACTGATCAGGATACAAAGGGGAGGTATACATATGTGTTGTTGTCTGCATGTCAACACAACAGCAAAGAACAGAAGTCACAAGAGAGCCCCATTTGTTTAGTGTCTCTGGATCTTGTTGTACCCATGCACAGTCTATTCAACCATTTCCATACTTCCCAGCTTTCGTCAGACCAGGTTCCAGCTCCTCTGTTGGTTCCACCCAGTGTTGGATCTTTGTAGCTTTCCATAGCATTCCTGTCTCTTGTTTCAGATGCTTCCGAAACAGAATCAGGTGAAAGCTAAGAAAGAAGGCCATTGTCAAACACATATAGTCCTGAACAAACCAAGTGGGACTAGGAAGGCATTTCATGCACAATGCATAGTTGGTAGTTGATCCCAACATCCCCCAAATGCAGAAAAATTGGAAGTCTTTTCAGGACAGCCATTTGCATTTTATCTGAAGCGGTCAACATTGCTTTCTCTTGCCCATAACTCCCACAGCAGGAGACGGGCTCAGAAACCACTTTTAAGTCCACGTGTTAACATGTCGACATGGAAGATCCATGACCGGTTCTCCAGATGTCTTTTTCTTGACTTCAAAGCAGCTATGAGGCACTGTTAATTTGATCAGAGAAACAAGGGAAGGGTGGGGGAGAAGGGGATGGTTAACCCCTTTCCTACCCTGATGTTTTCCTGCTAGGAAGCACCAAGGGTGGATAGAAATTGAGTGGAGGTCCTGGGTTGGATATAACAGAAAAGGGTTAACCCCATCCATTTCCAGCAGCCTTTCCCTGATCAGAATTAGTAATTCTATGGATGTTCTGAAGTCAAGCATAACATTCTGGGAGATCTGGTCAGAGTTATCATGCATAGCTGGACCCCAAGGGCCAAAATAGAATAAATCAAATTATTCCTCCCCCCCCCCCAAAGCTCTATGTTATAATCAGAAGGATCCGTTCTAGCTTTCAGTCTTGAAAGTGTGGAGAGGTTGTAACGGCCTTTAGGAAAATCTCTTGTTTGCCTTTAGAAGGAGCCAAAGGATGGCATGTTAGCAGTTCATCGGCTTGTTGACATCTTTTTCATTCAGTGGAATAGCTTCCAATTTCCTGGAATATATGTTAGTTCAGTATTAGGGGTGGGGTGGGGGGAGAAACAGAAAGAATCAGCTATCAAAATGAAAGAAACCTCGAAAGTACCAGGGCTGATATTCTGGCAATCATAGGGAGTAACAATCGGGTGAAATCCAGCAGGTTCTGACAGGTTCTGGAGAACCGGCAGCGGAAATTTGAGTAGTTCGGAGAACCGGCAAATACTACCTTTGGCTGGCTCCAGTGTGTGGTGGGAATGGAGATTTTGCAATATTCTTCCCCCAGGAGTGGGGAGGAGATGGGGATTTTGCAGTATCTTTCCCCTGGAGTGGGGTGGGAATGGAGATTTTGCAGTATCCTTCCCCTGCCACGCCCACCAAGCCACATCATGCCCACCAAGCCATGCCCACAGAACCGGTAGTAAAAAAAATTAGATTTCACCACTGGTAACAATTCAAATTTATTAAGGGTAGGAAAAAAAGAAGGAAGGAAGGAAAGGAAGGAAGGAAGGAAGGAAAGGAAAGGAAAGGAAAGAAGGGAAAGGAAAGGAAAGGAAAGGAAAGGAAAGGAAAGGAAAGGAAAAGAAAGGAAAGGAAGGAAAGGAAAGGAAAGGAAAGGAAAGGAAAGAAGTGGGATTTTTCCAGTCACAAAGGCCTAGCTTGACCACTGTTTAAAATCTATTATAACAGTTTAGTCTTACTTGCAGCCTTCAGATGTTTTGGTCTCCCAGTGCATCAGCGTCTGACAACATACTAAATCCATATAGTTGTAATGCAAAATGCCTGATGAGTCCCATGTTGCTTCTTTCTCATCGAGATGAAGCTACATTTTAATCTTTGACCTGATGCCTCCAAAATCATTAAGAGGTTGACCCTCTAAGAAGAAAGGATGAATCGTGGGCTTTGTTTCGTTCTCTAAATGTTTCAACTAACGATCTCATTAACGGTCCTTTGATAGCTTTATATAATGCATTAGAGCGACATGTAATCCAGACAGGGCATGGAGAATAGGACTGGATTGTGGGTACTTTGCACTTGTTAAGAGAATTTAAATGTTAAAAGTTGGGTAGAGTTACATATACTGTACATGCCTAAGTGATCAAATCATTATATATCTAACATCTGGTCTGTGATCTCCGAGAAGCACACCCATTTCAGCTGCTTTCATTTAAATCAAAAAGGAAGTGGAGTTCAAAAAGATCCCCTCTCTCATTTGGAAAGGGTTTTTTTTGTTTTTTTTAAATGAGTTTAATTTCCTCTGGGAAAAAAGGATAACTGGCCCACAATGAGACTGAGTGGCAAGATGGAAGGTGAGGTATTAAATATGTTGATGGATTGGCATTCAGAAGGTGCAACCTGAAGGTTTTCCAACAAAAATACAAATCTTTTATAAAAGCAAAAATTTTAGTAGTAAAGGGACGAATGCACCTTGGAGATAAAATGTACGATTTGTGGCACTTTCATAAACCTTAAGCAATGTATTGTCTCTCATTGCGGAATTCTTAGGAATTCCACATTTGTCTTATCTCCAAAGGGTTTAAGTTTCGCTTTCTGAAGTTATCTAATCCAAATAGTTCAGGGGTGGGTTCTACTTACCTTTACTACTGGTTTGCAATGGGTGCGTGTGAGCTCTTCTGCGCATGCACAGAAGCGTTTTTATGATGTCAGGATCAGTGGGCGGAGCCTCCCGCCAGTTTTACTACCGGTTCTATAGAACCACTGCGAACTGGGGGCAACCCACCCACTGAAATAGTTGTTTGGTAATATTGTTCCAATTGAAATTGCAGGTGAGGAAATGGTTATCAATTACATTTTTTAGCCCAGTTATCCATGCAAAAGTTGCTCACAGGATTGTATAACGGATCAAGCTTGATGTGGAAAAGAATGTAATTTTGACTTTGGGTTTTACAGTTTAGATTGATAGATCTTTATAGAAATGACTTGTTCATATTATTATGGAAAAACAAAAAGCTGTGATTTGGTGTTAATGCCCTATTCTATGGCAACAGAGAGAGTCAGAAGTCAATGCTTCTTTTTCTTTTCCCTATCATTCCTCACCTCTCTCCTCCTTTCCCCTCCCCTCTCACTGCTCTTTTATTTACTTTTGTATTTTTCATTTTATAATGCTTCATAACCTAATTAAAAAAATGTTTGATGAGGATCGTATAATGCATCAATTTACAAGAATGAGTGAGTGTGCATTTTTTTTTAACAAAATGAACATTTCTCTGCATTTAAAGAATTACATTTGCCAGAAGAAAGTTATTTCCTAACCTTCTTCTTTGCATGCTGGTTTTCTGCATGCAGGCTGTTTCTATGACTGTATTTTTCCTAACACTTCACACCAAATATCCCCCACCTCAAAAAAAAAAAAAACCCACCAAACCCTCACATGTTTTGCACGTGGACCTGGCTTTATGCCAAAGAGCCATATCTATTGTGCTCAATTTAGGAGGAGAGAGGGTTGAATCAGGAAAGTCCTTTCTTGCTGTCATCGTGTCCTATAACCAGGGGTATCTACAGGGTGTGGCCAAAACAGTTAAGAGAGTAGACACAATGATATGAAGCTCAACCAGGGGTGAAATCCAGCAGGTTCTGACAGGTTCTAGAGAACCGGCGATGGAAATTTTGAGCAGGTCAGAGAACCGGCAAATACCACCTCTGGCTGGCTCCAGAGTGTGGTGGGAATGGAGATTTTGCAATATCCTTCACCCAGGAGGGGGGAGGGAATGAGGATTTTGCAGTATCCCCTGGAGTGGGGTGGAAATGGAGATTTTGCAGTATCCTTCCCCTGCCATGCCCACCAAGCCACACCCTCCAAGCCACACCATGCCCACCGAACCACGCCCACAGAACTGGTAGTTAAAAAATTTGGATTTCACCACTGAGTTCAACTTTTCTTTTAATGTCCAGTGCACATTAAGGACAAGCAGAGTTTCAATTGTCCTGTTGTGGCGGCTATCTTGACTGTTTTGACCATACCTTGAGGAACCCCTGCTCGTACACCAGATTATTTTCACATTCGCTAAGAAAACCAACCTAAAGTTTCAAGTTTGTTACTGATGTCTCCCTTTGGCTGTCTCTCTTTTTTTTTCCCTAGGCATCCTCAGAAAAGAAGAAATCTGGCGAACCCCCTTTCCCAAGAGCAGCGAGACACATTTATTCAGAGAGTCAAGGCCTGAACCATTCATGCTGCTTCATCGCACTCAAGATACGATCAGCCCTGCCATCTTGGGGTGGGGTGGGGAGACTGGGAAAGGAATGCCTAAGGCCGATCCAGGATTGAGAGGGCAAGCTTTCCGTATTTGCCTTGGGATGAACTGGGCACCAGATGAGGCAGCGGCCTGAAGCTTGGCTTGTAACAAGCTGATCTCAACAGGTCTACGTAGAACTCTTTGAAGAGCTAATTTATTTTTGAAGTTGCAGGTTAAGAATTCCTTTTCTTCTTATTAGACCCTCCTGCCTGACACTCACAATTCTTGTATATTTGGCAGTAACCTCCCATTTTCCCAAAGATAGACCTGTTCCCCTTGACGGCTCTCTTTCTTTTCTTACCGGACTGTACAGAGAGTGCTGCTTTGCCGAAATCATAATAATACTCTAAACCTCGAAGGATTTAAATGCTTTTCATGTAACGTTCCTTCTAACCTCAGCCAGGGCTTAATTTCTGATCAGAGAGCCGCTGTGAAGCCTTGCCCCCCTCCCCCTCCCTCTCTCCCTGTCTCCCTCCCTGCCTCTCCCTCTCCCTCTCCCTCTCCCTCTCCCTCTCTCTCTCCAGCAAAAGAAATAGTTGCATATACCCGGAAGCAGGCTTTCTATGGTGTCATTTCATGGCTTCAGATTAAATCTTGGTCCTGGAAAAAGTTCTCAGAACGGGGCGCTTTGGTGCTAGTACAAGTAGTCCTCGACTTACATCAGTTTGTTTAGTGACCATTCAAAATTACAGTGACACTGAAAAATGTGACTTATGACCGTTTTTCAGTTATGCCCTTTGCAGCATTCCCATGGTCATGTGATCCAAATTCAGACGGTTGGCAACTGGTTCATATTTATGATGGTTGCAATGTCCCAAGGTCATGTAAATCACCTTTGATGACCTTCTGACAAGCAAAGTCAATGGGGAAGCCAGGTTCACTTAACAACCGGGTTACTCATTTATCAACAGCAGTGATTCATTAAACAACGGTGACAAGCAAAGTCTTAAAATGGGGGCAGAACTCATTTCACACATGTCTCTCTTAACAACAAGACATTTTGGGCTTAATCGTGGTCGTACGTCGAGGACTACTTGTTTTGTGCTGAAAAAGCCTTCTGCACTTCATCATTCCCATTCAGTGTGATGGCAAAGAACAGCAAGGATGAAGGATATATAGGGGGACTACCTAGAGTTGTAGGGGGATATCGAAGGGACATCTGCAAGCATTCAGTCTTCCATAATGGCATCATCTCTCCAGTGATGTGCGATCTCCTTGGCTTCCCATGCTTCAACTCCGTCCCAAGGGGAAGCATCAAGGGAGTACTTCTCCCGTGAGGTTTTTTTTTTGAAATCAGGAAGCAGCAGAACAGCAGAGGATGACATAATGGGAAACAAAAGGAGCCCCCTTGCCCCTTCACCACCAGAAGGGCAGAGCAGAAAGAAGGATCCGAAAGCCTGCTGTGAACGGAGTAGGAAAAAAAATGGGAGCCTTTTTCACAAGAGTAAGAACTTTTTCAAAAATGGCGCTTTTGGCACCGTATTATTCCAGCTGAGAATGGCTTGTAGAGCTGCAAATTGGCATTTTGCCTTCTTTTCCTGACTTTTGGCTTTTAAGAAGTGGGGAGAGAGGGAGCAGTGGTGGTAGGGAGTGATGGGAAGGGAAGGCTGCATGAAGAAGAAGAGCGTGTCTGGATCCAGTGCCAACTGCTTTCAAATTCTTGTATAAGACGGAATGATTGCATAAGAGAAGACGAGCTTTGCCTGTAAGCATCCTGACAGAAACCTGGTTTGTATTAAGTTTTGGCTCCCGCTTTCTCAACCTTAAACTCAGTTTGCAAGTTCTAGCAATCCCACAACAACTGAAACGGCCATTTTAGGTCCTGCTGGGAGAAAGCCCTAAATAGGCATGGTGTAAGATAGCTATTCTTTATGGCAATAGGATGAACATAGCAGCCCAGAAAGAACTAAATACTCCTGCTTGGTTGTATCCACAAATGTAAAACTATATCACAAGGTAAAGAATGAAAGGTCTTCCACCTTCACCAAAAGCTCAATTCTAAGGGTTGTTTGTGGGACAGCCTGGTTGAGAATTAATCCATGCTTCTACTTTAGCCATGCCACTTATGAATGCAGGGAGCATGCTTGCCAGTACCGGGTCAATCTTTGCAGCACTAGCTGCATGCTGAACTACAATTCCCAGCATCCATTGCCATTAGCCTTGTTAACAGACGCAACTGGGGGTCACAGTTCACTCACCCCTATTGGTTTACTCTTCGCTGAAGTTCAAGAATCAAACAGTGGGGGATCCACCACAGAGCCCTTTCAGTCACTGATGACCTCCTCCATTCACCAGTGGATGCTACCCCAGGTTTGATGGACAGTCTGATTCAGCTTTGTATTGCTTCTTACTATGAAGAATTAATAAGTTTGATCATCATCAAGGGATGACTTTGGTCTGAAAAAGGACACTTTTCCTAGTACATTGTAACCTGCATGTTATTTGAGTTGTTAAAATTCTTTTAACCAAGTCCTTGTTGTATGGGCTTTATTTATAGGCTACACACAACTATTTTGTGAGCTGCATACAGAATGAGAGCACATGCAAATCCTGTTGAAAGTAAAAATGGGGATGAGCACACAGACAAAAAGGAGAGAGATGGACATTTCTGTTTCCAATACAGCACATTTTTCCAACTTGCTCCCCCTGTATTGTACTACAGTTCCCATCTCCCACTGGGAATGAACAAGACTGTGTTTCAGCTGCCTGTATACTAATATAGCTAAACATGAATTGAGATCTTAGTTCTTTTTCAAGCAGCTGTTTTTGTGCCTTTCAAACCAGTTTCATCTGCAGGCGTTAGAAAGTGACCAGAATGCTATTTTTCTATTCCATTCATGTCTCTTCCTGCCGATTTCCTAAAATGGGGAGAAGAATGGTCTAAAGGACCTATTGTCTTTAAGGTGTTTCACCCAGTTTTGAAACCCTAGACCTGTGATGGTGAACCCATGGCATGCGCGCCACAGGTGGCACGCGGAGCCATATATGTGGGCAGGCAAGCGTTGCCCTAGCTCAGCTCCAGCACGCATGCATGCGCTGGTCAGATGATTTTTGGGCCTTTCGGGCCCACCGGAAGTCTGGAAACAGGCCATTTCCAGCCTCCAGGGGGGGTGGAGAAAGCTGTTTTCACCCTCCCCAGGTTCCTAGAAAGCCTCTGGAGCCTGGGGAGGGCAAAAAGCAGGCCTACTGGGCCCACCAGGCCATCACGTGCCAAAAGCGGGGGGACCCAGGGGGGTCATGCGTGTATGCACAGGGGGCGGGGCGCATTGAATTATGGGTGTGGGCACGCACACGATCCTCCCACGTTCCCCCCACTTTTGGCACACAACGGCAAAAAGGTTAGCCATCACTGCCCTAGACCCATCTCAATAAATGAAAGCGGTGTACTAACCTTGCAAATGCTTTATCAAATGCCACTTTTTAAAAATTATTCTCTTTGCTTCTCTGCCAATACCAGCATTCTGGCACAGAAATTAAGCAGAGGATTCTTGTAAAAGTCTTGACCATCAAGGGATGAAGGACTCCTAAATGTCTGCATTTCGCCAAAGGGCACACAATTTGAAGGCCCTGCCAACTTCATGCAAACAATGTCCTCTGAGTTATGCTGGGCTATAACTCCATTCTGGGTTAACTCACCTGAGAATTAAGTCAGTCACTCACGGCCTCAATAGCCTTAAGAATCTAAAGCAGTGCCTCAAAATTCAGTCCCCTTGCTTCATTTCCTTTGAAATGTTTATGCCAGGAAACAACAAAGCCGAAGGCTTTATTTTTTTGCTTCTTTCTTCACCCCAGATGTACCTTTAGGACAGGCACCAAGGTCAAAAACATTTTCCCCCATTGTTGCACTTGAGCCGTTGTGACATCAGAGTAAACTGCACCAGTCAGGGATAGTTTTCACTTTTAACCCCCACCCACTCCCAACAGCAATCAGATTATAGCAATATCTTGCAACAAGAAAAGCCCCCTTATGATGGGAGGCTGAGAAACTCAGCTGGTGCTGCCTGATTTAAGGGCCCCATGGATGCTCTAAAACTTTCCAGGGGACTATGTGATGTAATATGAGAGCCAATTTGGTCTAGTGATTAAGGTGGAAGACTAGGAGTAAAGAAATTCGAGTTCTCATCCTGGTAACTTTGACCCAATCACTCTTTCTCTAAGATGTATTAACAGAGGGATACAATCAAGATCAAGTGAGGTACTAATAACACTCTATAAAGCCTTAGTAAGACAACGCCTAGAATACTGCATCCAGTTTTGGTCACCACACTATAAAAAAGATGTCGAGACTGTAGAAAGAGTGCAGAGAAGAGCAACCAAGACGATTAGGGGACTGGAGACTAAAATGTATGATGAACGGTTGTTGCAGGAACTGGGCATGGCTAGTCTAGGGAAGAGAAGGACCAGGGGAGACATGATAGCAGTGTTCCAATATTTGAGGGGCTGCCACAGAGAGGCAGGGGCTCAAGCTATTTTTCAAAGTACCTGAAGGCCAGACAAGGAATAATGGATGGAAACTGAAAAAGGAGAGATTCAACCTGGAAATCAGGATAAATTTTCTGACAGTGAGAACAATCGACCAATGGAACAGCTTGCCTTCAGAAGTTGTGGGGGTTTCACCACTGGAGGCTTTCAAGAAGAGATTGGACTGCCATTTGTCAGAAATGGGGTAGGATCTCCTGCTTGGGGGGGGTTGGACTAGATGACCTACAAGGTCTCTTCCAAACTGTTAATCTAATCTAATGAGGAAAAGCAAAATGTACACTTTTCCAAAAAATGCTCCTTAGGAAACTGCTTTGATTTGTCCATTATAGTAATTAGGAGTCAAGATGGACTCAAAGATAACAAAAACAATTAAAGAGGCAAACTTGCTAATAAACAATGTGTACCTTCCTCATCAATTGAAAACAGATCTGAAGAGGAAGGATTTGCGTATTGGTGTGATGCAACCTCTCGCTGTACAAGTCTCCAATGATCTTAGAGTAAATGCAGGTGGAGAGTTGTGATCTAACAATATCTGGAGGAGGGTGCCTCACAAGAGTGCAATCTGTCCATCTTTTAGATATGTGCTGGAGCTTCAATAGCACAATTGTGGCTACCATCTTGTCCTTTCTGACCACACCTTGCAGACACCTCGAGGTGTTACATCTCATTTCTAATTTGCTTTGCATCTGCGTGATAACCTCAGGACAAATGAGGAACCTGTTGCTTTTGATAGCAAATTGACAAACAGTGGACAAGATGTTTTGGTTTTACTAGCTGCAGATACCTGATGAGACAACCCTTCTAAAAGTCCAGCTTATGCAATCCAGTTAGATACCACTTGATTTAAAAAAAAAAACCAACAAATTCCCCATTTTTTGGCATTTTTATTCCCCTATATTTGCTTTGGGTTCTCCACCTCACTTGGGATCATACAACATGCAACACTTGATGCTCTCATAAGGCAATAGATGTAGGGAGGTGACAATAAGATTTAGAAGAGAAATCTATTTGCCACTTGGCCCATCCACCACCTTCTAGGTTCCACAGCAAAAGTGAATTTTGTTGGTCCGTGTCAGAGAAGGCTTCAGTGCCAGCATGTGGAAACCAGCAGGGCACCATCAGGTATACCCGAGGTGAAAAGACATATAGGATACTGCAGAAAATGATATAAGATAAAACAAGGGTAGAGCTTGGCATGTGGGCCAGAGAGTCTCCTTTCCCATGTTCACGTTCTGCCAAGCTTCTTCACTTACATTGAACTATGATTTTTTTCAACTCTCTGCTTCCATGCCCTTCAATTAGCAAGTGATTTTTGTTTGTTTGTTATTCTAGCAGCCAGATTTCTTAATTCTGCCCTGCTTCTTTGAAGTCACTTCAGTGTCCCTAACCTGAGTTAGCCGCCTCGAATACAGGCATCTTGGCATGGAGGTGCCATTGCACCAGTGAATTAGATTAGATGTTCTATGCTGGAGTACCAACTCTGTTTCCCTGGCACAAGGGCATCAATGCTCCTCACCTCAGGCTTAGGTTCTGGGTCAATATGATTTGCATAGGCAGAAATTCAAGTATTGGTTCTTCCAGGTTAGAAATGGGAAAACTTGGTTGGACAACACATCTGCAAAACAGAAGCTATGTTGGTGAGATCCTCCATGACTGACAGATGTGGCTACCTGATGCTCGAGGTGGAGGCATGTGGGATGGTGCCTATGCTAACTGCAGTGAAGATGAGTGTAGAAGATAGCAGTTGAGGGAAGGGTTAGTATAACAATTTCCTGATAGGAAACTGGTTGGAAAGGAAGAAGTTGAGATTGTTCCCTATAATGCTATACTTTTTGAATAAGCAACAAAGGGACACATCTTTCTATTGATCCCTACTATAGTTTAACCTCACTTTTCTTTATAGTCATTAATGTTCTGACCTAAGCTTCCCCAAACCATGAAGCAGATTCCTTGTCCCAACAAAATCCCCTTTTTATTAAGTTACTGTGAATTCTTCTCATTCACATCCAGCAAAGTCTTTCAAGGGTGAATTTACAGTCACAGAACTTATCTGGCTTGGGGAGCTGCCAGGCCGATATCTTCAAAAGTTGGCAAGGAGTCACAAACCAATTAAGTGAACTAATTGTCTTCTGCAAACTCCACTCCCCTTTTGATCCTCTTTTATTCCCTCTGGGAGGGGCCATTCATTGTCCACCTGTGGCCATACTCCCAAGTCGACCCTGTTCTTTAGCTGTTCCCTTCGTCTGGCAACTCTGCACATGCGCACACTGGGAACAGGCTCCAGCTGTTTGTCTGCCTCACTGATGTCTGCCTTCGAAGGCAACTGATAACTGGCATACATCCCTTGCCCCATCTCTGCCTCCAATGCAGAGCCCACATCAGAACCTTCCCCAGACTCCAGGACTGGCCCATGTTCCTCCCCAACCTCCTTACTGTCCGAATCTGCTGCCAGCTCTGCTGGCTGCTGGCGGGCCACAACAATTAATTTGGAAGGATCCCAGGGAAGACTTCCTAAGGGAAGTCCATTTGTGGTACTGAATTATGCATCGGTGGGTTTCCACCTTTCTTTTGATGCTTTACAGCTGTTGATTCAAAGTTTAAAGATGACATTGAATAGAGAAGCTTACACCATGGCAGGTGCTCTTTTGGCATCTGCATGGAATCTGGCATCGAGTGCAAATTTTTCACATGGTCTCCCCCTGCTGTCTTTTAAATTCCTTCTTTATCCCATTTTCTTGGGTGTAGTGATTTGGGTGTCAAAGCGAACCACTTTTCAAAGCTCTCAACGTTCAGTTTTACACTGAAGCCCAAAATGTGGTGGCTCTGAGATCTCTAATATCTCAGAGGGCCTCCAATAACGGATGCCAATTGTGTCTGAATCATCCAGTAGCTGTTCCTGGATGACACAGGCTTCAAGAGTGCTTGTGGCTTTGGCTTCGTTGTGAATTGGAACTGAACAATGCAAACAAGGCAGCTTGCACCCACAG